TCTCAGTTCCTATACCCTCTGTAGATTCACTGAACTCACTGGATGAAGGGGTGGATGGATGGATGAAGAGAAAGTGGGGGAACACTACCCATTGCAAAAAAGTCTTTCTTTGCTTCCACGCAACCCTTCTTCGTAACAGTGTCTCCATGCAAAGCAAAGGATCCGAGAAATCTGAGTACCAAAATGAAACATCTTTTTTTTTTAAAAAAATCAGGATTATCCCTGGAAGCAGTTAAAGCAGATGCATTATGCCTTAAAGCATGCCACAATTTTATTTTGATTCAGCAATTGCTTATTGAATTTCTACAAAAACTGTGTTCAACCATAGAGATATGAGATCTTTCCAGCATGACTGGAGCATGTTTCTTTGCTTATTATTATTATTTGCATGCTTAAATGCCCCAAAGTGGCTTGCTTGTTCACTCTATGGACTGAAAAAATGTATGTAGGCTCCTCAGCTCAGTTAATGTGGTACAGGGGAGGGGGAGAGAACTGTCTTCAGTCAAAACTCAACCACTGCAAGAAATACAACAGAACAACAATGGATACATGGTCTTACTCACCATCTTGGGTTTCCTCCTGAAGAACAAAGGTTGTCCAGTTGGTGTTGCGGGTAAGTTCAGCCTATATCTCAGAGCTTATCTCTTAGTGAGCTAAATTAGGAACTCAGTTGCAGAAGACAGCCAAACTTGGTTGTTTGACTCTGTAATGATTGATAAGGCCCAGGGAATAGCATTTCACTGATGGAAAAAGGTTGGATCTTCAGGTTGAGCATTCCCTTCTGAATAGAGTTTTCCTGGCTGATCCCAATGGGTGCAGTATATATATTAACAGTTGATTGTACGACACACCTACTTTACCACCATTTTTATTCATGAAATTATTTAAAGAAAACCTACTAGAATTTCCTACTTAAAGCAAATCTACTGGAATTGCTAGAGTCATTCCTTATGTACCAGTGAGGATCCCACTAGGCTGACTAACGAAGAACAGAAAAACAATATTATAAGCCACCCCCAATACTGGGCAATCAAGTTCATTTGCACTTTTTGCCCACAATGAGAGTTTACAGGCCATTCATCGCTCCAAACTTTAAAATTAGAAACTTAAATTTTAAAGTTAAAAACAATATTTTAAATATCAGACTTTCAGAAAATTAAGCTTCAGGAGTGAGCCTGCCAATAAACTAATAGATTAGTCCTCTAAATGGATTTGCCCCCTGATGGAGTTTTTCCATGTATTTTGCCAGGAAATGTAGATAAGGCAGGCTTGAAAAGCCAGTATCCACCTAAGCATAGCAATGTGCTCCGAATCAATTGGCAATGTCCATTTAGTTTTCCGAATTCATAGAGACCTAACTAGAGGTGGTATTCAGCAGGTTCTGGAGAACCGGTAGCAGAAATTTTGAGTAGCTCAGAGAACCGGCAAATCCCACCTTTGACTGGAGATTTTACAGTACTCTTCCCCTGCCACGCCCACCAAGCCACACCCACAGAACCGATAGTAAAAAAATTTGAATCCCACCACTGGACCTAACCCTAACTCTAAGTGCATTTGCCCCCCAGTGGGATTTTCCCATTTATTTTAGCAGGATTACCATGTTAGTTGCCACTATTATGGGATGAGTTGTGTTTTGTTTTCATTTAAATGATAACTTTGAAATTTACCATTGCAGCATAAATACTGGCGTTTTTATATTATAAGCAGTCTCTTATATTTACATCTTCTTTTTCTTTCGATGCATTCCCTGGATGCTTTTATATGTTATATTCTTTAGGAATATTAATAACTAGCAATTCATTTTATTATATATCAGTGGTGATGAACCTTTTTGGCACCAAGCGCTGAAATGGGAGCATACGTGCATGCGCGCACCAGAAACCAGAAGAACAGCTCCCCAGAGCACATGTACGTGCTGGCCAGCTGGTCTTCGCACGTGCAGGAGTGCTGGAAACCAGAGGCTTAGCTTCCTGGCGCGCTGGTCTTCCGGTTTCTAACATGCAGAGGTGGTATACACCAGGTTCTGACCAGTTCTGGAGAACCGGTAGCGGAAATTTTGAGTAGTTCAGAGAACTGGCAAATCCTACCTCTGACTGGCCCTGCCCCCATCCCTTCTCTGCCTCCCGAGTCCCAGCTGATTGGCTGGGTCTTCTTTTGTTGCCCTGCACAGGAGAACGGAGCTGGAAAGCAAGTTAATGGGATAGGGAGGGAATGGGATTTTGCGGTAACCTTCCCCTGCCACGCCCACCAAGCCATGCCATGCCCACCAAATTACACCCACAGAATCTGTAGTAAAAAATTTTGAATCCCAGCACTGCTAACGTGTATGCACGTGTGAAAACCAGCTGGCCAGCATGGGCATGCATGCTGGGGAACTGGTTTCCGGTGCTCCTGCATGTGCGAAACCAGCTGGCTGGCGTGTGCATGTGTGCCAGAAGCTGCTCTTCTGGATTCTCGTGCTCCCGCTGGAACCCGGAAGAGCAACAGGCGACAGTTGTTGTGCCCGGAGAGATGGCTCTGTGTGATACTTCTGGCACGCATGGCCTAGGTTCGCCATCACGGTTATATATACTCATATTTTTAAAAATACCCTACAAGTGAATGTTATTAAATTATTCCCTAAGTTTCTCATCACTGTTTGTGTATTTGAATGTTTCATACCCCACTCTAATAACCATTCTGAAATCCTGTACAAATAAATAAAGAGTAAGGCTGACTTTCATATCTGCCTGCCTGCCTGGGATTTCTCTGTATACTACTTCTTTACAGATACTGCAGTTATGTATTGTATTCCGATTTAGTGCATAGAATAATCATTGGAAAATGAATGACACAGGAATAACTTTTACCCATATTTTAATTTATTTTAATGTAGGTGAGTTAATATAAAAGGCCCTCCAAAACTATGGAAAAGTAGCAGGATTCAGAAGTAAAATAAAACAGGAAAATAAACAATATTATGCCAGTGATAAGAAAGCAAGTGTGCCTAAGCCAAGCAACTGTATGACCAAAAACGCAATAGGGAAAATGGAGATTGGCAAGATATTCCATTAAAAAAGCAGAATTATGTGTGCTTCTAAACTGTGCAAATATGTTTGTATTCTAAACATCCAGGAAATAGATGTGTCTGTTTGTCATTTTCTGACCTGCTCATCAATTTATCTTTCTGATTTATCTTTTTGATTTTATGTCGAGGGCCTGTACATTCTTCATCTTACCCAGTGTTTCATACAAATTGCTCCAGGATCTCCCCACAACTTTTTTCATTACTCTACCCATAAATCTTTCTTTATTTCATCTCAAGTACATCTGGACTAGAATCTTTATAGCATTCACCCAATTGTCAATTTCAGCCACTGCAACACAAACCATCCTTGTCTTTACTAACTGGCATTTTTTTTCCAACTACAACTCCACATTAATCGGCTCATTATTTGAATATCAACAAATCATTGCTCAGCCCAAATTCAGCCATGTAGGGAAATTGCAAAACCGTTTCATAGTTAGCAAATGACAGTCTGGGATCTGTGTTTTTAGAGGAAGTATTGCAGTTTCTATTTTTCTCAGTCTCTAAAAATAGAACCAGAGCTAAAAAATAAAAGCTGAAAAAGAAAATTAGGAAATGATAAGGATGTAAGGCTCCAGGACTGATTTTTTTATACTCTGCCAAGACTCTTCCAATGCTTGTTAACAATAGGTAGTGTGGTAGTCTAATGTTTTATGGGCAATCACACTGAAATGGCAATTAACCTCTACTGCAAATAAATTAAATCTGGGTGTTAAAGCCCAACACAAGTGAATCCTACCTAAGCCCACATTTACTAGGGGAAAATGTAACCCCTGGATTCAGCCAGATGCTTAATGAGCCTGTCACTCTGCCTCTCTCCCACTCTTCTAACGTCATTGTTGGTATAGAGAATAATCTGTTTGTTCTCAGGCCTCCTGGATTCACGTTTGACCTAGATCTGTAATGTCATGAAAGCAAATGAAGCTTCAAACATCTGGGTTGTACTATTTCTGGAGACAGTATCTCAAGTTCAGATTTGATACATTCACTTAGGGCCTTTCTCTGTTCATCAGTTGAATTCCACCTGCGTTGAGCTGACAGAAAACTATAAGGAATGTGAGTTTGGCTGTTCTCATTTGTGATCCATTTATTGCTTCTAATGTCTTTGATCCCAGTCATCGCCCTGAGTTCTCTCCAGGACAAGGCTGGCAAAGTCTAACAGATTTTAGCAGGAGCAGCTTCAAGGCATCTGTCAGGGGATAGGAGAAAATATTTGTGGCTAACCACAAATAAGTCAGTCTCAAATGGGTTAGGGACAAAGTGAAGGCAGTGCCATGTGAATCCAGTGGAAAAAAGAGGTTCTTATGGCAGGGGATCTTTGTGCTGTGGTTGAAAGCAAGTGGGGAGATAATATAGCCCAAGTTACATTAAGACAGAATTAAGAGCTACCTGGGGAAGAAAATCAGCACCAACATTTCCTAGAAACATTGAAATGGAGATGATATCTGTTTTAATCTCCTTAGAATCAAATTTTCTAAAGAAACCAGTAGTACATTTTGGATGATTCTACACTTTAGACTTGGTATCTGTGCCTTCCTTTGCTATCTTCTAAGTGCAATGCTCTGCATTCTATAAAACAAGGCTCCAATAATCATTTCACTAGGAAAACAGTTTTTGGGTTATTCTTCTTATTGACCAATTGGTCAAGATCTTTTTGTTGAGCAAATTTGCTCCCAACAAATTAACTTCCTCCCTGTTCACTTAACACCACCATAGAATTACATGAATTGTTTTAATACATAAATTGAACACCCCTCAATTCATTAGTTAAACTCTAACCCATATCCCCCTCCCACCCTCATGCATTATAGGAGATTTTGAAGAAAAAGGAAAAGTTGAAGTTTGAAAGAATAATTGCATTCTCTACAAATAGACATTAGAAGGAACCCAATGTTGATCCAGCCATCATCCAGCTGTCCAGTGGTCATTCTACTCCCCAGGAAAAATTTCCTCCTACTGGTCCTGCTCCTGGCACATCCCAAACACCACATCCTGGGTCACTGAAAAGAAGAGATGCTTTCCTTGAAGATAGCCTTCCTTCCATGGTCCATCTCATTGGGCAATCATGCAAGCCATTTTGTATGCTACAGCAGAAATGAGAGCGGCTCCTCGGCCACTGCCTTCTTCTGATTGCAGGAAGGTGATGTCACAGCCCGGAGTGAGTTGCCTGACTGATGCATGGAAACGCTTTTTGAAACTGTGAACAGAAGAAAAACAGGAAGAGAAGGAGGAGAAAGGAAGAGTAAGTGTTTTCAGAATCACCCTCTTGAATTAGTCTTCTCCAAACTTGAGAAGAAATCTCTTGCACAGGCAGGGTTTTCAGAGCCCTTCCATGCAGACATCAATGTTGCAACTCTACAGCTATATTAACACAACATGGTGACCTTGTTTATAAAACCAAACCTGGTTAAATTGTTTGGGTTTCAGGAAACTCTGGAGTATAAATTGAACAACACTCTGCTAGATCTGCAGAACTCTGAACAACATGAACTGGTAAGCCTCCCACTTCTTAAAATGGATCCCTCCTATCCACCCCATATTTCAGGTTTCATTTTATCCAGGATGAAGCAGGTTGTGTTGAAAGCAGCCTAGACATGTAGACAGGCCCTTTGTGGCATTCAAGAGTCCAATTTGTTGGGTTAAGCCTCAACAATGAGCTTGAAACACGGAAGTGAGGTGTTTCGTCTTCCAGTTATTGTTTCTGATATCCTGCCTGGTACTCTGAAGTTTGCTGTTGTCACAATATGGAGCTGTTTTGGAGCAAATTGAATGTCTTTGGCAGCAGTTTTTTCAACCTGGCTGAATAAGGGCCAAGCTACATGTTATGCATGAAAGCACCTCTAATCTTTTGTTCACCTATGGCTTTTCAGCTGTAACTCTTCTCATTCCCACGGACAGCCCATGGATTTGCAACATGGACAATATTTAAAAAGTCATGAATGCACTAACACACACACACACACACAATTATGTATTTGATATGCAGAGGATGCCAGATTCTAAGAAACAATGGGAAAATCAGATTGTAACACATATTCAAAAGTTTGCATTTACTCGAAAAGGTTCTCAATATTCTCTTCAACATGGACCCTGTTTAAATACCTTTTGTGGCCATGGACCATGACCCTGGATGCCCAAGACTTAAGATTTAAAGCACAACTTTTTTTCAAGCCTTTGTAGACCCCTGTGATGACATCACAGCCCCCTCAGGGGTCCATGAATCATCGGTTGAGAACCATTGGTCTAGTGTTTTGGTCCCTCAAGAGATAGTTTAGATTGTTAGGATGCTGTTTTGCTTGAGGGATCAAATATTTTGTCCAGTCCTCTGAGACACCAAAATCCTCTCATAATACCTTCACCTGGGATCCTAGACATTTTTTCACAATTGACAACATTTCAGTGTGACTGTATCAAATATCTGATCATTTGAAAGGCCCCTGTACACCAGGAAACCAAAATTGTATCATGAAAGTATGTGTGATAACATGGACAACTTTGGACCCACTATAGAGATGGAATTGTGAGAAAATATATAGTTGAAATTTGCATTATGAAATTTGCATTATGTTATAATTTAGAAAGTTTATCAAATGATATATGTTGCTAAAAAGACTCCAGAAAAGTTGTCTAGATTGTATAAGGATCTTTCAAATTTAGACAACGTGAAGGGTCATACTTGGTAGACTTTAAAACCCCAACAATTTCTGTTTCAATTAAATACTATATAATACAAAGGGTTTTAAAGATCAACTTTCAACTGAAATCAGAACTTTTCTTGCTGGGATTAATGGATAGGCAATTAGAAAAGAGCCATGGAGGATTATTTTGATATATGATTACTATTTTGGGAGTGTTATATGCACAAAAATGAAACATTTTTGGGCTTCCGGTTTTAGACGTCCCTGAAGACGGACTGCTGACCACGACTGTCCGTGGCCTTGGTCCATCCTTCTTCGTCTGAGAGCCCCGACCAGCTAGATCTGGGGCAGAAGCTGCCTCATAGGGGTGTTGGAGGAAGGGGAGACCGTCAGCCGGGTAAAAGGGGGTCACAAACCCCCTCCCTGGCTTGGCAAAGCTCCCTCTCGAAGAAGTCTGAAGCGGTGGTCTAAAATGGCCACCCTGAAGGGGAAGAGTAAGCCGGAATAAGATTGTGCTGGAGAGAGAAAGAAGCGGACAGCAGGAGAAACGGGATGCTATAACTAAATGAAAGGTACCCCAGGATTAATTTTTAAGATTTTTTTTTTTAAAAAGGATTTAAAGCGGTGAAGACAAAGGAGATAAAAAAAGGTGTGGATTGTTTCTTGACAGTGGTGGGGCTTTGAACTGAAAAAGGTAGAAGCTGGAAAAAGAAACCATTTAACTAATTTGGATAAATATATTCTGTTACCATATAAGCACTAATAAGGCTGAATTTGTGACTGTCAAAGAGAAAACGCAATATCAATTGGATTTGATTTTTTTTGGAAGCCTCGAACAGATGAATTTAAAAAAAGGGGGGGTGAAGATTTGTTATGATAAAAAGTGCCATTTAATGGTTAAAGTTAACTTGTTTTTTTTACTAAATGACTGTTTCTTAAAAATCTTAAGGGTTGATACAATATAACAAGATCTTTGAAAAATTAAAACTTTGAAACAAAAAAAAAAAAGCAGGAAGATTCTGCCCTGAATTGTTGATTCTGGCTGGACTTGGTATTGGACTAGTTATGAACTTCAAATCTGAGAGGAATAAAACAAAAGTTGACTGTTGGAAACTAACCTCATAGACACTATTTAGATTAAATTATTAGACAAAAACATGTAAAATGGCGATATCTCTTCTGGAATTAAAAATGGACCTCAGAAACATGAAAGAAATATTATAAGAATGAGGTGAATCATTGGGTTATACTTTCAATTTTTTGGAAAATGTGATCTTAGAATATGAAAAACAAAGACAACAAAGACAAAAGATGGAAGATGAGGTGTAGCTGACTACAGAACTATCATCGGGAACAAAGAACTCTGCAAAGAAGGAGAAGAAGAGTGGGAAATAAAAATATGAGACGTAAGAAGTTAAATAAAAAAGGGAATATTTGTAAAATTAAAAAAGGTAAACAGAAACAGCAGAAAATTGAACGGTGGAAGGAAGCTATAAATAGGGAGGGGGATAAAAACTGGAGTGGCAGAATAAAGGGGAAAATGAAAGGGAAAAGAAGGGATAAGAAGCAGGATTTGGAAACAAAGAAATATGGGAATTGTAAAAAATGAAAAGGAATTGTTTATTTAGAAGGCATAAAGACAATGGCTAATTAATATCTTAAAAGGGGATTCTGCAAGATGAGGAGTAGTACTTTAAATATACTTAAAGTTATGAATATTGTAGGAAATAGGGATATATAGATTATTAAGATGGAAAATAGAACTGATATTCTTTGGTATTGGAATGTAAGCTCTTTTCTTATATATATAGAGATGAATGTAATAATTAATGGAAGATGTTTACTAAATATATTGAAATAATTGAAATGAAATATGAGGGGGCTTGTAATGGAGTAGATTTTTTTTAGTTCTGGAAAGTAGCTTTTTTTGTTTAATGATATAAAGATGAATGGAATAATTAATGGAATATGTGTATTAAAATAATTGAAATGATATAGGAAGAGAGCTGGAATGGAATTAATATCAGAGTTTAGGATTAAATGAATAGATTAATATGTTTTCTTTAGTTTGAAATTGTAAATAATTTTTATGAATTTAAGAAGGGAAAAAACCATGCAGAATCTGATTTATATTTGCTATGTAGTTTTAAAAGGATTATTAATTTCAATTTTTAGGTAATAAAAGTTAAATGTTCATTGAGATTAAAAGAGATAATTAGTGAATATGTAAACTTTAGAGGTGTGTGCTGTCCAGACAGTATATAGGTAATGGGAATTGAGATAGTTAAGTTAGAATTGGAAGCTGTCCCCTTAAGGGAATGCCTCATGGTAAATGTAGTTAATGCATCTTGGGAAATGTAGTTCATGTCATGTGGTCATATCTGTAATCCTGATTGGTCACTGAATTGACCCTTGGTTGGGTTGGGGGAGGTTCCTTCACTCTTGCCTGGACCCCAGCAGCGTGCTGGTGCCTCACCCCCTTGCTCCTTTGTTATGGGATGAAAGATCACTATTCTTTTACACTATGAAATCAGCTATGCAAAGAATTGGACATTAGATGGATCTCGACATAACCGTGAGTTATATTTGAGGATGCCTGGTGACTCAATAAAGAAACATTGTATGGAAGCCTTTGTAGAGTTGTCTGTCTGTCTTTATATTCAGCCAGCTGTCTAAAGACAGAACAAGGTGGCACACTTAAAATTGGTAATTTAAGGGGGAAACTAATTTTATAGAATGATTGTATTAAATTAGATTTTATGAATGGATGTTATAAGAATATGTGATGAAATATGCAAATATGACAGTTAAAAGTATTGAAGTATAATAACTATGAAATATGAGAAATATTGGTGAATTAAATAATGAGGCAAGCATTTGGAATAATATAATAAAGTAGAAAATGTATAAAAGCATTGTTAGGATAAGAAGTTGAATATAAAAATTGTATACGTAACTATGGTCATATTTGTATGTAAAGATGATCCTGTAATCATGCTGTTCACTAAAAAGAGACTTTTTAAAATGTGGAAAACCGAAATAAAATTTGTTTTAAAAAAATGAAACATTTTGAAATACTGACAACTGAGGAATCGTTGGTGAAGATAACAGAACTAGAAGAGATAACAAAATTAATTTGTTCATTAGAGACAGAGCAACAACAACATTTATTGGAAACTCCTTATGGATTTTTGCTGGAAAAAAAGAGAGAAATGAATTTGGGATTTATGAGCCTGAAGATTAGAAAGAGTAGCTTAGCAAGAAGGAAATTATGATGTTATCTTAGAGAGATAGGGTAAAATATAAATGCTGTCAAAAAGATCGGAAGCTACTTCTTTACAATCTTTCCTTCCATTTCCATTGTTTTCATTTTGTTTCTTCAATAAAAAATATTTTTTTAGAGTCCATAGGCTTCAGCTTCAGAAAAGTGGTAAATATGTAGTTGGCTATAAACAAACTCTGAAAATGATTCAGCAGGGCAAAACCAAGTTGATTACCCTAGCCAATAACTGTCCTGCTTTGAGAAAATCAGAAATTGAGTACTATGCTATGTTGGTCAAAACTGGTGTCCATCGCTTCAGTGGCAACAATTCTGAACTGGGAACAGCTTGTGGGAAGTACTACAGAGTATGTACACTTGTTATAATTGATCTGGGTGACTCTGACATCATCATTAGAAGCATACCAGAACAAACCAGAGAAAAGAAAAATTAATAAACTTTAAATTTTGTGTAATTAAAAAATAAATAAATAAAATAAAAATTATATTTTAAAAAAAGGAAAACAAGGCTGTTGTGTCAAGGCTTCACCTGGGGTGGTGCTTATAGACTGAGCCATCAACGCCCACTGTAATGTTCAGCCTCTCCTCGTTCCTGCTGTCCCTCATGCGATTGATGACTCCAGCCAGCCCAGCTGAGCACATCTGGGCAGCCCGTGTGGAGACACTCTCACAGACCATCCGGACAATGTCACAGTCCATTGCAGAGGGCAACAGCTCAAAAGAGGTTAGAATGTTGTAAATCTGCTTGCAGTCACCGGCATCACTGGAAGCAAAATGGAAATATAAAACTTAGGGCAGCAGAATGACAAGTTAATTTTATTCTAAGAAAAGCTTTTCCTGAATCATGTCTACCAGATGGATACAGCAAGGCCAGTAAGGGAGCCAACCCCAGTTGTAGAGTGTAGGGGAATAGGAAGCAAGACTGTACTGAGAATCTAGAGAAAAGCAGAATGGTTAGGTGATGATTGTAAATACAGCTGTGCAAAAGGTTCAAGGTTGGAACAATCTATGTGAGGGTTGGCCCGTTTCCGGCATAACTGGAATGGCCATTGTGGAATCGTGAAATAGGACAACATGAGGATGAAGTATTCCGGTCTGAGATTGTTTTGCATCCCCCTAAAAGTAAAATTTCCTCTGAGTCATGGTCAGAAATGACTTTATGGATACATCCATGTAGCTTTCTTGATAGCATTAAGCTGGTGGCTTGTCATTGCTTTCTGAGTGAACGTTTTTTGGCTTTCTAATCTAACCTACTGCCTGACAATTTCCAGGGGAAATCTATGATTGGCATTCCCCCCCTCTTTTTTTTGAGTAATCTATACTGAAGGTAGCCCAGTATTCCCTTGGAAAGCAGAAAATCTATTGCTGCATGAATAAAAAAAAAACCCTCTTCCTTCTCAACCATGGAACTGATGGTCATATATAACCATCCACATCATGAAAATTTCATGAACGGTTCAGTGAAAATCTGTCAAGCCTCAATCGAAAATCTGAATTAGAAAACGGCAGATAATTTTGACTTGTTATTCATCATGGCTGATTAACAGAAGAGTCTATAATATTTGCAGAAGAAAATTGATAAGGATGAGACTCTGTTGGAATTTTTATACTCCCAGACCAGAGATGGTATTCAGCAGGTTCTGACCAGTTCTGGAGAACCGGTAGTGGAAATTTTGAGTAGTTTGGAGAACCGGTAGCAGAAATTTTGAGTAGTTCGTAATACCACCTGATTGGTCCCGCCCCCATCTATTCTCTGCCTCCCGAGTCCCAGCTCATCGGCTGGGTCTTTTTTTGTTGCCCTGCACAAGAGAAGGAGCTGGAAAGGAGGTTAGTGGGGTGGGGAGGGAATGGGATTTTGCAGTATCCTTCCTCTAGAGTGGGGTAGAAATGGGAGATTTTGCAGTATCCTTCCCCTGCCATGCCCACCAGGCCACACCCACCAGGCCCTACCACACCCACCAGGCCACGCCCACAGAACCGGTAGTAAAAAAATTTGAATCCCACCACTGTCTTGGACAGATAGATTTCAGCCACTTTAGAAGAGCCTATGGTACTTTAAATTCATCCCCTAGTATAGAGTTTATAGTGCACATTGATTTTTCTTTTTGCAAATCAGCACCTTCTTTTTTGAAAACCAAATTATTATTATGATGATGAAACATAAAGCTAAAACAGAATAAAACTACTGCAGAAGAATGGATAAAATTCTAAATAACAAAGGACTAAAATGCCTGATATATTGTTAAGTGGTAAGAGGAGGAATCACCAGTCTGCATTGCAATATTTTTTTCCAGGGTGTTCAAAAACCTGCTTGTGTCATCAAAACAACCTTCCCACTTATTTTCACTAAGAACTATTAGAAGAGCAACCAATAGCCTCTCCTGATGATTCCAAAGTGCCCCAAGTAAACTTTGTACATATTGACTACCTTTCAATTTGAGAGATAAAACGACTTTCAAACGATCCCCTGGTCTTCAGCTTTTCTGAAGCATCTCCATTGAAGAGCAGGTTTTCATTGACCAGTTTTAGCAGCACCAGTCGTACAATCTCTCCTATGTACTTCCCCCCTATGATCTTCTCAAATCTGGAAAAAGGAAGGTACAGTTTGGTCACACACAGGAAAAACTCTGTGCAAGGAAAAAAGGCAGACACATCAACACCCACAAGGCATGGAGATCATTTATATATATATAATAGGGAAGGTTAAGTGTGTTAGTGTGTCAGATGAAATCACTTGAGTTTGTTTGAACAAAATCCACTCATGTAGGAAGATTGATTGCCTAACAACAGGGGTTGTTTTCTCTGAACGAAGGAAAAACAACCACTTTCCCTCTTTGCTTAACTTGACTTCTTTTTTCCAGTAACCAGTGTGTGCACAGGTCATTTGTGCCAGTTTAAATCTCAGGTCTATGATGTTTTCATTATTAGAAGGGTTTCTTTCTATATATATTTTTTTTGCAAGTCCTGCTTTTAACTATGAGGCCAAGAAAGGAAACCATGAATGTTATTACTTCTATTCTAAAGCAGCTTTACTCAACTTGAACATCCTCCTGATGTGTGGATGTCAACTCTCAAAATCTCAGCCAACATGGCCTTTACTGAGAATTTGGGAGTTGAAGTTCCCACATCTAGAAGTTACCAACATAACACCAACAAGCTTAGACATACCAAGTTAAAAAACTCTATTCTGGGGCATTTTCTTTATATCATAACCTTTTTTGTCCCAATATCTTAGACCTCCAAACCATCTTAAGGTGGCCAGATTAGCCAAAGCTACTCTACAGAAAGTATGGACTACATATAGCCCAAAGAATGTCATGTGATTCTAGTACTTATTAAAATGTGCACATAATCAGTCCAGATTTTGGTAAGAGCTCTCTGTTTCTTCCCTGGCAATCTGCTGTTTGGGAGAGAGAAAAATTGGATGTTGGATAAAAGAAAAGAGGAAGAAGAAGGGAGGGCTGGCAGAAAGAAAGAAAAGAAAGAAAGAAAGAAAGAAAGAAAGAAAGAAAGAAAGAAAGAAAGAAAGAAAGAAAGAAAGAAAAAGGGGAAGAAAGAAAGAAAGGAAAGAGAAAGAAGAAAGAAAGGAAGAAAAAGAAGGAAGAGAAAGAAAAAGAAAAAGAAAGAAAGAAAGGGAAGAAAGGGAAGAAAGAAAGAAAGAAAGAAAGAAAGAAAGAAAGAAAGAAAGAAAGAGAAAGAAGAAGGAAACAAACAAACAAACAAGGGTTCCCACTTATCTCTGGATTAAGCCCTATTCACCACTGCACATGAACCCTAACAGATTACTTCTAAAACAAAGTAATTTTCAAGAGTTAAGTGCCCACCTTTACTTTAAGCTTAGAAAAGCACAGCAGATGTTACTCTCTCAAAAATTGCCAAGGTGTTTCTCAACCTTGGCAATTTTCAGATGGACCTCCATGATTCAAACTTCAACTTGGACTTCAACTTCCAGAATTCTGGGACTTAAAGACCACCCATCTTAAAGTTGCTAAGGTTGAGAAACATTGATCTTAAAATTAGCACCATGCAGAGGATTGATAGCACAAGGAATTGCCTTCTCCCAAACTCAGACTTGTGCCTAGATGTTATGGTGAGACCACAGCTTTCATGCCAGCTTCAGTGCTCTGTTCCTGTTCCCCAGTACATCAGAGAAGAATAAACAATTAGGTTAACTATATCTGCCATATTCCTTACAGCTGCTGACCGGGGTTAAATGAGGTTTCATCCACCACACGATCGTACTCCAAGAGGAATTCGTCCAATTCTCCCGACTCTCCGAAAGCCCCCCATTCGGTGTTCACACACATTCGTCCCTCATTGCCTTCTACCAGTTCCACATTCTCCATCTCCTCCATGTAGCAAGCATTGCATCCTGTGCCTAAGAGAAGGAGAGGCAAAGAGATTTTCCCAGTCAACGGTAGTCCAAGTATCATTGGGAGACCCTTGACATGTCTATTATGTTGAAGATTTTTGGAAGCTGACATTTTACTCCAGGTCCAACTAATCTCAGGAACATATAAAGGCTAATGTTGATAACAGAGTAACAGAATAACAGAGGTGGAAGGGACCTTGGAGGTCTTCTAGCCTACCCCCTTGCTCAGGCAGGAAACCCTATAACATTTCAGAGAAATAGTTGTCCAACGTCTTCTTAAAAACCTCCAGTGTTGGAGCACCCACAATTTCTGGAGGCAAATTGTTCTACTGATAAATTGTGGAAATTTATCAGGAAATTTTTCCTTAGTTCTAGTTACTTTTCTCCTTGATTAGTTTCCATCCATTGCTTCGTGTCCTGCCCTCAGGTGCTTTGGAAAATAGGTTGAACCTCTCTTCTTTCTGGCAATTCCTTAGATATTGGAACACTGTTATCATGTCACCCTTAGTACTTCTTTTCATTAAAGGTAAGAGAATTACATTATGAAAATTATGCAACACACATATATGTAGTCCTCTATTTAGGACTGTAATTATAGTTGTACATCATGCTGGTTGTTATGTAGATCACCATGTGATCACACTCAATTTCACAACTTTTTTGCATGGTCATTAAGCAAATGCAATGCTTGGAAAGCAAATACTGCAATCATTAGACAAATCCATTTTTGTTTGTTTTTGTTAGAAATTGGAAATAAATGCTGGTTTCCTGCAAAAAAAAAGTCATAAATCTTATTCATGTGATGCTGCAAACAGCCATAAATGTGGGCTGGTTGCCAAGCACCCAAAATGTAATCGTATAACTGTGGCAGGGTGTGTGTGTGTGTGTGTGTGTGTGAGCAGACATCAGAACTTCAAATCTGGATTGTAAGTAGCCTGGGGGACATCTGTTGGAACATTGAATGGTGGCTAAATGACTAGACTTAAGTCAAGGACTCTCCATACTGACAACAATGTAGAATTTACAACTTTGCAGAAGGAGATTGTGCAGAGTGCTTCTGACTCCTGTGTTGTAAAACACCTGCAAGTCTCTTAGTTAGCATTTAATCAAGTGAAGCAGAGTCATTACTGTGGTTGCTGCAACTAATATATATTTAGAATGTCAGAAAGACCTCGGGTGCTGGTAAAAAAGTACCGCTTGGCAATGTCCACTTGATATATAACAGCTGTTTCCAGAATAGTCATATCATAATAATAGTCACATAAGAATTTGGCCATATTGAGCACCTGAGCTAAAGGGGTGGGGGGAAGCAACCCAAAACACAAATTTCCAGGCAACCTACTCTCTGTACTGCAAATAACATTACTCATCTTCAGATAAATGAATAAATCTTGCCTCACTTTGTAGTTCTTTAGCACCTGCCCATTACAGGAAAAAGCCTGTTCATTCTGTTCCCATTGTGTTCTTTCAAAAATCCGACAGGAACATCATTAAACATATATCAGTGCTCGAGCAAATGGAGATGGAGCTATTTGTAAAGATGTACTAATTGTGCTATCAGGCTCCAAAACCCAAGAAAGATCCGTTGAGATTCTTCCAAGCAATTTCCTTCACTGTTCCTCACCTATAGACAGAAATCTAAAGCTAAAGCAGTTTGACAAACTAAAGCAAACTAAAGCACTGTAAAATATATGCTTTGGAAACTATTAGGAAGGAGACATCTTCACCCTCTTTCTCCCACACAAACTATCTAAACTGTGATGTCTCTTGATCCTCTGGAATCTGGACAACATTCCATCCCACCACCCAGCTTTTTAGAAGCTATAGCACTGGGGAAAGGCCATAATCCAAAATGGCAATGTCCATGGTTTTCTACAATATCCATATAAACATCTGCAGTCAGAATTTGTTGGTGAACTATTAGTTCAACAAATCACATCACTGGCTGGATGTGCTGTTTTCCAAACATATTTAGCTATAATTCCCTTAATCTCCAATCGACACATTTTATGGCCATATTGACTAAGACCGGTGGAGGCCACCAGGATAATATCAAGCTAGGAAGGTTTAAGGCAGCCTCCCTGTAAGACTGGGTTCTGTTTGAATCAGCAAGAAGGAGTTGTTCAGATTACAATGGATTTGCCTGGGGGGAGTATATGAACATGGTAGGTCCACTTACCCACAATCATGCCAACTTCACATCTGTGATCCTCATAATAGCAGGAGATCATTGTTGCTACTGTGTCATTGACCATTGCAACGACATCCATCTCAAAATCCTGCAGTGGGTTGAAAAAAGCATTGTTATCTTTCTAGAAGGACATCTCAAGAAATAACACATGTAGAATGACCACCTTCTCAGAAAGATACCATCAGATAACTCCAAGGATGGAGGTTGGAGGTTGTTGTCTCTGAAGTTGGCTAGAGATTAAGGTAAATTTCTCTGGGATTTTCCTAACATTCTGCACAAAACCAAAAGAAGAGTTGTCACACCACACCACAAAATAAATGCTATGTTCCTTTTGTTATGTGTCATTGGGTTTGAAGGTGGCCATTCTATAAGCATTCTTGCAAATTTGGAATCATGGAAGAGGGAAACAAATTTCCTAACCTTCTTATTTCCCCTCCCTTTCCTCCCACCTCCTTTGTGTTGAAGAATAGGCTATAAATTCCTTGGAGAAGAGATCTATCCCTTTCTCTTATTGTCTAGGAGATGTCATGCATCTGGATTGTTCTGTACCTATAGGGAACTGAAACTAATCAGAAAGTAACATAATCAAGAGGTGGGCCCTACCTCCAGTCTCCCAAAAAAGATTACTTCTATCTAAATTGTTCTCCTTTGTTCCTAGGGTCCCCCATTTGGTATCATAGATAATTAATTCATTTCAGATCTCTCTGTAGACACTGCCATGTTTTTAAGATCTTGTTCCTTCACATATGATGCTGGAAGTTTAACCCTTGACATTTCCAATTTAAAAATCTTCATAAATGGCAAGGTAACAGTCTTATGCCTGCCGTTTGGGGTAGGAAAACCCTAAATATTCTGCTACTAAAAGCAAAGCACGACATTGTGTACATCTAGTTCTTCATCTTACATGACAGTGCCTGAAAAATGTGGTCTTAAGCTTAGGGAATAAAGGGCAGGTTCAGTCATTTCTATGGCTCCCTTTTCCCACATTTTTCTGCAGTTCCTTATCAAAACATCTTATTTTAGTCTCACAGTTTTTAGAGAGCAAGTAGACAGGGTTATGCTCAATGAGTAAGTTGCCCAACGTGTTAGAAGGCTGCTTTTCTTGACCCTGAGAATTAGCTGAAAAGAAGCCAGGCATCAAACATTACCAAATTATTCCTCTCACCCCTCTTCGCTTGATAGCGTCTCTCAAAAGCTCCACAATGTTGTTCCCTTCAGCTCCAGATGCTTTGAAGCCTTTTGTCCAGTTCAACAAAATGCCCTACAAATCAGGACATGGAAAGAATCAGACGAAACTTTGCAAAACAAGCACAACTTGGCTGAAACAAACAATATGGGTCAATATATTAAGGAAAAGTTTGTCTCAAGCAAAGAAAAAAGCCACATTGTAATCAGAAGGGCCGGCAGATGTAGGCAACCGTGTACCAGCAATGGAGAATAATTGCAGATTGTCTGGTTTTGATCATCTTGGACTAGATCTCACATGAGAATGATGACATTCTCACAAACTCTTCACATTGCTGTAAGAGATTTTTAAAATTTATATTTACTGAGTATTTTGCCTTCTTTAATATTCTTATAGGAGATGAGGCAACAATGGAGAGTGAGGCTATTATAATTTTTCAAAAGGTCTGCAATCCTGCAGAAATCGTACAATGGTTCATGGCTAACATGGTCTATTCACTGCTGAAGAATCTGTCTGGAAGCTCACCTACAATGAATCTACTTACATTAGTAGAGTGATACATTTCCCTTGGCAGATTTGCACATTAGTGCAACTCAATTTTTCAGTGCTATTATAACTTCAGACAGTTGCTAAAGGAATGGTGGTAAGATAAGAACTACCTGTATACTTATGTAGGTTTTATGCTTCATTTCAAGGCTGACACCATCAAAGTGCTTCGCTTTGTTTTAAAATAGAAGTCACTTTCTATAGAAATTGATCATCTTCTGAGCCTCCATAGCACAAAGGGACTGGGTTTTACTTGTTTGATTGTTTTCTGGTTTAGCATATTTTTCCCAAGCTTCCCTCATATAGAGACAGAAGGAACATCATACCCTCCTATAGTTTTGGGATGTATGATTATGAATGATTCATCAGCTCCATTGAGAAAGTCATGCAGTCAAAAGCAGAAAGCATTCCAAATTCCTGGTTTCAGATCTTACCTTGTCAATATCTTCATGTCGAACAGGGAAGGAAAATGTAAAGCCCAGAGGCAGCTTTTTGTGCTTCATTTGATGTTTGCCCAGGAAGTCGGAGATGCATTCCGAAATATAATCAAAGAGCTGAGAGAGAGAGAGAGACACACACACAAAAATTCTATTGCCCTTCAATGAATATTTTCTTTCACTTCTTGTAGAATGCTTATTCAAGAACCCAAGTTCTTTGACAACGAACAAGACACAACATCCTAGGGTAAAAGCAAGGCACCCTCATCCTTCCAATAACAGGCAGGACTTTGATAATTTGCTATTTTCATAATATGTAATAGCTGTTAAAAGACCGTCTTCTACACAACTTTGGATTAACTGTTGACTTAGACATTGGTTCAATGACCACCTCTTTATTTTATTTCTACAGCAACCAAGGAAACCCAGAGTGTTTCCATGACTGAAGGCAAAAATGAATTTGGATCTTCCTAGTATTAGTTCATCCACTTTAATCACTACACTGCGCTGACTTTCTAGTAATTGTAGGAACTTGAAGCTTTTTTGGCATTTGGCTGATATATAAAGTTCCATAGACTGTGTCTCTTTTGAGTTGCTATGCAGAGATGCTTTATCAATGAAAGGGGCAGCATATAAGTTTAATAGCTTATTGTGTTTTGCAAATCCAGCCCACCTCTCATTTGGTTCCTTTGGCCTGATGATCAACTCACCATTTCAGCAGTTCCTGTCATGGCATCTTCTGGAATGGAGTACATTTGATGTTTTGTCTTCACCTTCCATTGCCCTTCCTCATCATCTCCCACTTTGACCAGCATCACTCGGAAATTGGTACCTCCAAGATCCAAAGACAGGAAATCTCCAACTTCTGTAACCCCAGAGTATGACACCATGTCAATTTATGTCTTTGGAAAGCAACCTGGATCAATTGCCTCCAAATGAACCCCATGGTTGATTTATTGGGCATTTCAATAAGATGATGGCTAATATCAGCATGCCCCTATTTCTAGCCCAGGACTACAATTCCAGGATAGTCTTTGAACAATGCCAAGGAGATTTTAAAAAAATAAGTGTTTAAGTTTGCATCTCCCAACATCCATTTCTAATGAGGCAACAAGTACCTGATCCTTCTGGTGTGGACCGTACATATGTGGGAAGCATCTTCACTGAGGCCTTCTCATGCGTCTCCAGTTTTAAGCCTCGGTCCATTTCCTTCTGCATCCGACGCATCACCTTCTTCAAATCTTCTTCCCGTAGCTGGAATTCAGATAGGATCTCTTCCACCTATGAGAGGAGAAATACAAGAAAGGTTCAAGAAGAAGCAAAGAAGTACTTTAAAAGTGGATAATCTTCATCTCCCCTTCTTCTCTTTTTTGTATCTGCATCTGGATAAATCGCTTTCTCAACTGTGTACTTTTCAGGGAAATTATCTTCCAATTCTCCCTGGCTACAGAGTTTATTAGGCAATCCATGTCTACTTCTACAATTGTGGCTAGCTTCCCTTGTTGTGAAATTTTTATAAAGGCTAAATACTATGTGCTCTAGATTATCTGAAGGACCCGGTATCAATGCAATGAATAAATGACAGGCAACAAAATATCTAAACCAACAAATGATCTAACAAGAGAGAAAATCAGGTTGTGTTTTTCTGCATTTCAAATTTCTTGAGTATTGGGGTAGGGGAGAATCTCTCTCCTTTTTGTCCGCTGATTCCAATTTACAGCTGCTTCCCAAGATTGTTAGTCAACATAAGTGGGGGAAAAACGTTAAGAATACAAGGACCTCATAAATCCACAATTCTACAATTCTAATTCAGATGCACAGGTTTTTTTTTAATCATTGTCTTTCTGGCCCAGTTAAGGTGGATTATGTAAGTTTACTTATGGAATGACGGCTAATTAAATAATAATCATACAATCAAAATAGCGTGCACTTTCCTCCCTCATTTCTATTTTTAACTGATTAAGACAAGGGGGCATTTTATTGATCAGTTTGCTCTTTAAAACCTTCAAAATCTTGCCTAACATTAGTATAAACTCTAAATATTTACATTAGTCTCTCAGGATTCCACTTTTGGACAACCAAAGGAGACTGGAGTCAGGTTGGAATACTATTGCACCATTAAACTGTGATCTTTCTTGACCTCTGTGATGGGGTAATGATTGCATGTGTTTCTAAATCCATGCTACTATGGATGTTGATTCAAGTAATAGTACACTAATATTACACTGATTCAACAAATAGTTCAGCAATAGCACTTAGACTTTTATACCACTTCACAGTGCTTTCCAGCCCGCTCTAAGCAGTTTACAGAGTCAGCCTATTGCCCCCAACAATCTGGGTCCTCGTTTTACCGACCTCAGAAGAATGGAAGGCTGAGTCAACCTTGAGCCTGGTGAGATTTGAACAGCCAAACTGCAGCCAGTCAGCAGTCAGCAGAAGTAGCCTGCAGTACTGCATTCCAACCACTGTGCCATCACGGAGCAGTTTACATTATTTAAATATAACAGTTTATAATAGTTTGCTGGTTCATAAGAATACATGTTTCTTAGTGAGACTTTGTTTCAGAAACAAAGGACATTTGCCCAATACCATTGTAGGCAAACAGGAGAAGATATATTTCACACCCCCTAGTATTCTATTTCCAACCATGATCAGTTAGATATCACTAGAAATCTTAGAACCATGGGGCATCAGAAAGCAGCAGGAGTTCATCCTCTACTGCTTGTTCCAGCATCTGAGAGAGCAAGTGTCCTGTCTATTGAACATGGACAACTAGTGAGAAGCAGGTGGCTTTCATTCATAGCTTTTAACAAGAATTGCGTTCTAAACAGATATGGTTCCCAAATTGTGTGTCAAGATACCCACAAAATGTTGTAGCAAACTCAAAAGGGGCATGAACTAAGATCATGAACTACCAGCTCAAGATAGTTTACAGTTTTGGGATAAGAGCTCTAGGAAAAAAATAGGGGGACACTAAGTGTGCTATGAATCAAGAAAGTTTGAGGACCTCTCCATCTAGTCATTGCTTGGTTAATCCCAGTTCAGAGTGTTTCCACAGATCACACACAGCCATAAATCATAGGGGTATGGGTAACATACTAAAGCAAAACCAGTAAAACCCACTTGGAGTAGAGGATTCCAGACATTTATGAAGCAGTGTGTGAAAGAGATGTTTCCTTTTGCCATCAACTGTGAATTGAATGGCTGATACTGAGATGACAAAGCTACTTGGTTCCCTCATTGCTGCACTGTGGTTAGTTTAATTCAGGCTTACTGCAAAGCATAATCCCACGCTAATAAACCCAAATTGGTTAATAAGCCATAGGAGTTGCACTTAGTGTACAGATTAGGTGAGACTTGGCTCAAAAACAGCAACTGTGAGAGGAACTTTGGATGATCACTTGAATATGAACCAGCAATGTGCAACAGCAGCCAAAAGAACTAATACAATCCTGGGTTGTATAAACAGAGGCAGAATCAAGATCATACGAAGTATTAGTGCCACTTTACAAAACCCTAGTAATACCACACTTGGAATACTGCAACCAATTTTGGTCACCATACTACAAAAAAAGATGTTGAGACTTTGGAAGAAGTTCAGAGAAGAGCAACTAAGATGATCAAAGGCCTGGAGACGAAACCATATGAAGAACAGCTGCAGGTTTTGGGTCTGGTTAGTCTAAAGAAAAGAAGAATTAGGAGTGACATGATAGCAGTATTCCAGTATTTGAGAGGCTGCCACAAAGAAGAGGGGGTCAAATTATTCTCCAAAGCACCAGAGATCAGGACAAGAAACAATGGTTACAAACTAACTAAAGAGAGAAGCAACCTGGAATTGAAGAAAAAAAATCCTAACAATGAGGACAATTAACCAGTGGAACAGCTTGCCTTCAGAAATCACTGGAGATTTTTAAGAAGAGACTGGACAGTCACTTGTGTGAAATGGTATAGTTCTCCTGCTTGAGCAGGGGGCTGGACTAGAAGACCTCCAAGGTCCCTTCCAGCTTCTATTCTACTCTACTCTACTCTTCAATAAACCATGATTAAAACATCTCAGGATGATAGGTAAACCTAGACTCATATCTATACGGTTTGTACACCAGAGCACTGAAATCCTCTTTACATATCACCATGCTTAAGAGCATCCTGTGCTTTGTGGTTATTCAGTTTCTTTGGGTATGGCTAACAGTTGTCCAACAGTTGTCTAACAGTTAACTTCACTCCTACTTGCAACTGAACTCCAGGGAAATTGGCCCCAAATTAGTAGAGAAATCCAGACCTGGAGGCAAGAGAAACAGACTTCAGAAAGGAGGGAATGCACCGAAATCCCACCACCTCCATCCCTTGGTTACACACTCAGAAATTATAAATAATAAGGCAATTTCCTTGAAATAATTTCTTAAAGCCTAAAAGCAAAGTTTTGGGGAGAAAGAGTATCCTCTTACCAGTCTCAAAGTCTCAAAGTCTTTTTTCTTCATCACTGACGGTGATAGTCTTCAAAATTCTCCAAGCACGAAAGAGGGTCTGTGCTGCAAGAGAGAGACTGGAACCTGTTCCCTTCCTGTAACACGCTCAGCCACCTGGTCTTTGAAAGTGACAAGGCAATTCAGCTGCCTGTTTCTTTTGTTTGCTTAAGCTCAAGGCTGAGCATTGCTGAGATCTGGGGGCAACGTTTCTAGACCCCAAAGATTAAAGGTTCATCAGGCAGAGGCAAAAAAGCACCAGCTACTACCAACGCAGCACAGAAAACAGAGACCCATTATTGCAACACTAACAAGAATGATGCAAATAGCATTCCAGACAACTCATCCTTTAGCCTCTTAGGGATTTTGAAGGATTTCAGCTTCTAGGTGGCTCTGGGCAACGTGGATTGTTAATCATGCTTTTATACCTCAGCATTATGGGTGAAACCTGCCAACAATGTTGAAACAAGCCATGACTAAGCACAAGGTGAAAACCCATTCAAACAAGCAAGGAATTGGTACGTTTATGGCCCCTTAAATAAATCAATATAGGAATAGACAAGACTGCGACCAGGCATCAACTTTTCCTGTCCAAAGCAATTGTTCAGCCATTGAGATAGCAATAGCACTTAGACTTATATACTGCTTCATAGTGCTTTACAGCCCTCTCTAAGCAGTTTACAGAGTCAGCATATTGCCCCCAATAATCTGAGTCCTCATTTTACTGACCTTGGAAGGATGGAAGGCTGAGTCAACCTTGAGCCGGTCAGAATTGAACTCCAACTGTTGACAGAGTTTGCCTGCAGTACTACGATCTAACCACTGCATTACCACGACTCCTTGATACCACAATTCTGCTAACAAACACTTTTCCATAAAACATTCCAAAATGTTTGCATTTATGATTGTATGTCGCCCAGGGTTATCTTATACATTAAATAAATAAATAAATAAATAAATAAATAAATAAATAAACAAATAAATAAATAAATAACTGTTTTCATACCTACTTGTATTCATCTATGCCTAATTTCTTTACCCTTTACAGGGTGATTTGTCATGGTTTAATTCTTTTCACGCAAAACTAAGAAGTTTGAACATTAATTTCTACTCATTTTCCATAATGTCTGTAGCATAAATATCTCTAGTTTCCTTTATTTATACACCAGTTCATTTATTGGAAGTATGAATGTGTACTATACATATTAGCCCCATGACTGAGAAGTTATATGCATATCCTTAAAAATTCATAGCTTAAAAGGCAATGAACAAATTGAAGGAAGAAAAAAATGAATCAATCAATTTAACCGAATTTCCTTTGTCAAATTTAAAATCCACATACGTCAAATCCATGAATAAACCAAAAATATTGCATAAAAAATAAATGTTCATACATGGAGATAGAGGGAAAAAAGTCATATCATGTGTTAGATAAGACTTCTATCTAACATTATGGGGCTTTTGTAAGTGTTGGGTTACAATGTTCTCCCAATTTTATGTACTTCTTTAGCAATTGAAAAAAATAGTAGGAAAAAAGATACATTATCTAGGAACAAACTCCTAGACTGAATCAGATCATTAATGAAATGTTATCTGAAACTCAAGGTTCCTAAAACTGGCTGGAAAACCACAGTTTTTGCCTGTTGTCTCAATGTCAACAGAGAAGAAGCCCAATGAGTCAGCAGGGGAGGGATATTTGCATGATTCAACGGTTACCTCTCTCCCTCTACAACAGGAAGGACCTGAGACAGGACTCTTTAAAAATATTTCCAGTACGGCTCAATTTGTATGGGAACAGTCAGACCTTAACATATCCTAGGCCTTTTTCCATAGCCAAGGACCTTAGGAGATAACCAATGCCTTCGGCCAAGGTATTTTTTTCAACTTCCCATTGTCGCATGAGAGCTGCTGTCTAAGTGCCAACTAGACCTAACATTTGAGGAACTTGAGTAGTGCTTTTTGAACAACCGAACTCATACTTCGAACTTCAGTAATAGTGGGAATGCTGATCATAAAATAGATCCATAATTAGGGAAAAAAAGATGTCAGTCAAGAACTAAGGAGGAATTTCCTGACAGTTAGAACAATCAGTCGATCAACTTGCCTCCAGAAGTTGTGGATGCTCCAACACTGGAAATTTTGAGACTAGAAGACCTCCAAGGTCTCTTCCAAATCTATTATTCCTGTCCTAGTGCGCTAGTTGCCTATGTAAAGGTTCTAACCACAAAAAAGGATTATGAATTACTGTCTGAAGGGTTCAAGCTAGAAGATAATTTATTGTTTGGATGAGAAACTAGGTCTTGGAGTTAATGGTTGACTAGAAACCTGGATGCTGCACTAAAATATTTACCTGATGAAAAAGAGTCATTCTAAATTACATGTGCTGTTCAAATAGATAAGAGAAAAAACAGGAGACCAAAGGAGACCTCCAACCTTGAAAGTCACCTTAACTTATGTTATAATCTCCCTTCAAACCACACCCTGTATTTTGATTTCTAACCAGGCACAATTTAGCTCCTTATGAGATCTTAGTCATTGGCATTAAGCAACAATTGGTTTTAGACTTGGAAAAGCAGACAACTGTTTGAAGGGGAAAAAATGAATCAATTGAAATTAAACTGAATTTCCTTTGTCAATGAAATCTGAACATTACTATATAGGATTTAGAAATGCAGAATATATTGCTTATTTGTATATACAGTTGCATGAAGTCATCGTGTTGGAAGACCAGGTTAGGAATAGTTCAGTGTGGAAAGGACTACAAGTACTTCTTGACTTACAACCACAACTGAGCCCTAAATTTCTGTTGCTAAGTGAGACATTTGTTAAGTGAGTTTTGTGACCTTTCTTGCCAGAGTTATTAAGTGAATCACTGCAGATGTTAAGTTGGTCACACGGTTGTTAAGTGAATCTGGTTTCCCCATTGACTTTGCTTATCAGAAAGTCGCACGAGGGGATCACATGACCCTGGGACCATCAATAAATACAGTATGAGTCAGCTGCTGATTCTCTGAATTTTGATCACGGAACCACAGGGATGCTGCAAGGATCGTAAGTGTGAAAAATGATCCTAAGTTACTTTTTTCACTGCCATTGTAACTTCTGTCACTCAATGAACTCTTGTAAGTTGAGGACTACCTGTACCTTATGTGTTTGCTAGGAGCTGAAAAAGACTGGATGGTACATAATCAATCAGTCAATCCCAATCTTGCAGTTTTATCTATTACCAATTAATTTATTTTATTAATTTTCTGTATTTACCTGTGTGTCTCACCTAAGTGACTCTGGGCAAATAAATAAATATGTTCTCATTTATATTGCATGGCAGTGTAAAATAAATTACATAAGAGTATACAGTGACTTCAGTCATGGGAGCTCACTGATCACTTGAGCCAGTCAGTCTCTTTCAACGCGGCCTACCTCACAGGGTTGCTGAGAAGGGAAAAAGAGAAGGAGGGAGAACTACATACACACCGTCTATCAATACATTGTTCCAAATCTTTTCAAGTTAACCTTTTCTGTATGAAAGGTGTGGTTGCCCCTGGATTACCGAAGTTCTTCCTAATGTACCTCAGAACAATTCTCCTCATACCTGTTTGCTTCTTTCCAAAATACTGCTGCACATTTTGTTTGTTTCAAATCTTCTCCCATATATCATTTTAAACATTTACAGATCACAGCATGATGACATCCGTATCATGTACAGGTATTTCTGGACTTACGACTGTTTGTTAGTGACCATTCAAAGTTACAACAGCATTGAAAAAAGTGACATCCCCATGGTCACATGATCAAAATTCAGATGCTTGGTAACTGGTTCATATTTATGACCGTTGCAGTGTCCCGTATCATGTGATTCCCCTTTCGTGAGCTTCTGACAAGCAAAGTCAATGGGGAATTCAGATTCACTTAATGACCGTGTTACTAACTTAATGACTTCAGTGATTCACTTAACAACTGTAGCAAGAAAGGTCATAAATTGGGGCAAAGTTCATATCTCCATTAACAACATAAATTTTGGGTTCAATTGTGGTCGTAAGTCGAGGACTACCTGTATTCATGATTGGACACTCTGTTGTTCTTAGCACTTTCTATTCTTGTGCTGATGAAATTCATTCCCTCAAGATACTTGTCTAAGATAATCCTTCAATACAGAGGTGGAATTCAGCAGGTTCTGACCAGTTCTGGAGAACTGGTAGCAGAAATATTGAGTAGTTTGGAGAACAGGCAAATCCCACCTCTGGTTGGCCCCGCCCCCACCTCTTCTCTGCCTCCCATTATGCCCCAGCTGATTGGCTGGGTTTTCTTTGGTTGCCCTGCATAGGAGAACGGAGCTGGAAAGCAGGTTAGTGGGGTGCAGAGGGAATGGGATTTTGCAGTATCCTTCCCCTGCCACGCCCACCAAGCCATGACCACCAAGCCAAGCCACACCCACCAAGCCAAGCCACACCCACCAAGCCATGCCCACAGAACCAGTAATAAATTTTTTTGAATCCTACCACTGCTTCAATAGCATTCATTTGGCAGTGGTGTAATTCCTTTTCCAGCAGCACCGATAAGACAGGAATCATGAAGAAAGGCAGTGGCAGGGAGGATTAAGCAAACGGGGAAAAGTGCCTTGCTGATATGCTTTTTCCTTTCTCTGCTTGCTCTCTTGGCCTCTTGCTAGTACAATTTCCTCCGAGTGCTGCTGAAAAGCAAGTATCTCACAATTGGTTATTTGAGACTGAAGCTAAGCAATATTTTCCTTTATTGACAACCTCTAATGGAACACATCCTTCTTAACAGGAGGATGGAAAGGACAAGACGATACTGAATTCAGTAGCTACAGAATTAAGCAGTGGTAAGTTTGCTGAGTGTCTTATGTGAAAAAGAGAATTGCAAAGACTTGCACAACACTATCATTTCTTTTTAGTGCCCATTTGTCTTCTTCCTAAAATTGTTACACTACTGATTTGTTTCTGCATCTAGAGCCTTCATGTACACATTCTGTCATCATTCCTTTTTATTTATTA